AATCCTCCTCTTTTTGCTGAGGAAGACCAGCTCTGAGCTAACATCTATTGCCAGTCCTCCTCCTTTTTTTCCCCCAAAGTCCCAGTAGATAGTTGTATGTCATAGTTGCGCATCCTTCTAGTTGCTGTATGTGGGACGCGGCCTCAGCATGGCCGGACAAGCGGTGCATCAGTGTGCCCCCGGGGTCCAAACCCAGGCCGCCAGTAGCGGAGCGCGCACTTAACCGCTAAGCCACGGGGCCGGCCCAGGGCCGGTCTTCCTCACCAAAGAGAGGAGGATTGGCATGGATGTTAGCTCAGGGCTGATCTTCCTCACAAAAAAAAAAGCTCGCTGGGCAAGCGGACAGTGGGCCAGACACCAGCCCAGCCTCCAGATGGTGTGTCCTTGGTCTCTAGAGGCCATTCCTGGCTCAGCCTGGGTTTGTAAAGAGGCAGCGGTGCTGAGTGAGCCCCCGGCAGCCTAAGCAGTACTGTCTGTTCTTCTGCAACTCACTGGGCCTGACTGGCCCTTTGGCGCAGCCCCAAAGCCTTTCCCCTGCTTCTGGTGCTTCCGCCACCCCTCCCTGCAGGAGACGTGCATCCCGTGCTCGGGGCTGCCGGCTGTGTTCCTTCTGTGGTCTGGACGTTGAGATGGGCACTGCTCATTAGCAGCTCCGGCTCCTGCCTGCTGTGGGCTCTCAGGACAGGCCACGTGTGTCCTGGCAGGAAGCTGGTGGGTCAGGCTTGCGCATGGGGGAGGTCAAGGATCAGGGCCCCTGCATCTCTCAGCTTGTCACCGCCTCATGAAGGCTTCTGTGACCACCCAGGTAAGGGCCCCCACCACAGTCCCCTTGCAGCGTCATTTTCCACAGAACCTACTACGAACCGTGCGCAGAGGCTGACTCGGGGCACTCAGCAGAGTCTGTGCCCCATGGGATAGAGGTGGAGGTCCCTGTCCTGCAGAGGGAAGCCAGGCACCCAGTCCCAGGCTAGAGCCAGGAGCCCCTTTTGATGGAGGCTCTGTCCTTGGAAGCTGTTTGGGGGCCAAGTGCCTGTGCTTGGAGAGCTGCAGGATCAGCTGAGGCGGGGCAGGGGTGTGAGTACTGGGTGACCCAGCCCCTCAAGACTTTGGCCACCTTTTCTTCCCACCATCCCCCAGAGTTTGGACCCTGGGCGCAGGTGGGAAGCTTCCTCAGGCAGGTTTGGGCTTTGGGGTTATCACTCTGGACTTCGGGCCCTCACCAGCTCAGCAGGATGGCCAAGGGCTGCTGGGCAGTGGGTCTTTTTCTGCTGCTGCAGACATAGGCATCTGGCAGGTGCCTGGTGTGGGGGTTGGCTCCCTGTCTCCTTGGAGTGAGGGGGCAATGCTGAGGGACCTCCTATCCCTGCACTGGTGCGGGGCGAGAAGGGTGGTGAGTCTCGGAGCTTGGTGTGGAGGTTGGAAAGGCTGGGCCTACAGGACTGAAGCTGCCGCCTCGACCCAGGGCTTCTGCCCCGACAGGTCCTAGGAGGAGCTGGGGTGGGTGCCCCGTGGCCAAGGCTGATGGACTGTGCCCCTTTTCTCTCTTGCAGATCTTGAGCAATGCACGGTTATTTTTAGAGAACCTCATCAAGTGAGTGTCTTCACCAGGGCCCTGAGGCCCCGCCCCACCTGCTCAGGCTCCCCCATAGGTGCTCATTCACCTTCCATCCCCAGGTATGGCATCCTGGTGGACCCCATCCAGGTGGTGTCTCTGTTCCTGAAAAACCCCTACAGCTGGCCCGCCCTGTGCCTGGTTATTGGTGAGTTGGGTGCAGAGGAGAGCCTTGGGTGGCGACAGGGCTGACGGGGCCCTGAATCTGCCCTCTGGCACTTCTGTCCCCAGTGGCCAATGTCTTTGCCGTGGCTGCATTCCAGGTGGAGAAGCGCCTGGCAGTGGTAAGCAGTGCCCTCATGCCCCATGCCTGGCCCAGAGGTCTGTTCTCCTCACCAGGCCCGGGCTTAGGGCAGGGCGCCAGCCATCCGCTGTTTCAGGCTATGTATGGCTTTCTTGGGAGGGGGTCTCACCCCAGGCCTGGTGGCCCTTCCCCAGGGAGACCCTTTGCCCAGAGAGTGGGGTCCCTGGCTGAGTGCCCTGCTCCCCCAACCCACTGCAGGGTGTGCTGACGGAGCAGACAGGGCTGCTTCTGCATGTGGTCAACCTGGCCACCCTTCTCTGCTTCCCGGCGGCCGTGGCCTTCCTGCTGGAGTCCATCACTCCAGGTGCACCCCCCTATCCCACCCCTGCCCCAGCCTGTCTTGTGGGCTCGCAGGAGAGACCCAGGCCACGGGCTGCCCCTGTGGCCGTGGCTCTCCTGTGAGCAGTGTGGGAGGGCTGTGGCCTGAGCCTGCCTCTCCTGCAGTGGGCTCCATGCTGGCTCTGATGGTGTACACCATCCTCTTCCTCAAGCTTTTCTCTTACCGGGACGTCAACCTGTGGTGCCGAGAGCACAGGGCTGCGAGGGCCAAGGCCAAGGCTGGTAAGGGGCTGCCTGGGGCTGGGGCCACCGAACCTGCCCTGTCTGCCATGGGACCAGGCCTGGGCAGTGGCATGGCCTCACTCTCCCCTCCTGTTTGTAGCTTCTGCAGGTAAGAAGGCCAACGGGGGAGCTGCCCAGCGCACCGTGAGCTATCCGGACAACCTGACCTACCGTGGTGAGGACCGTGCAGAGGGCTTAGTGCCAAAAGGCAGTGGGGGGACAGTGGGGGCCAGGCCTCTGCCGGTGCAAGCCCCACCCCTCCCATTCCAGATCTGTACTACTTCCTCTTTGCCCCTACTCTGTGTTATGAGCTCAACTTTCCCCGCTCCCCCCGCATCCGAAAGCGCTTCTTGCTGCGGCGGCTCTTTGAGATGGTGAGGCTGGAGGCTGAGGGGGCAGCAAGGGGCTGGGGGGCTGCCAGGCACTGGGGGGGGCTCAACCTGTTACCCTCTGATTTCTCCCCCAGCTGTTCTTCATCCAGCTCCAGGTGGGGCTGATCCAGCAGGTACGTGGGCTGGGCTGGGGTGAGGGGGCTCAGTGTAGCCAAGGAGCTGACGCTGTCCCCTCCTTTGCAGTGGATGGTCCCTACCATCCAGAACTCCATGAAGCCCTTCAAGGTGAGCGGTCAGGCTTTCCTGTAATGGGGGAGTGGGGGTGGGGCACAGCCAAGGGAGCCAGCTGAGCCGTCTCTCTGCAGGATATGGACTACTCACGCATCATTGAGCGCCTCCTGAAGCTGGCGGTGAGCAGCCTGGGCAGGTGGGGAGGGGCATGAGAGGGCAGGGGGGTGTTCTGGAACCTGGCATCCGGCTCCCCCACAGGTCCCCAACCACCTCATCTGGCTCATCTTCTTCTATTGGCTCTTCCACTCCTGCCTGAACGCCGTGGCTGAGCTGATGCAGTTTGGAGACCGGGAGTTCTATCGGGACTGGTGGTGGGTGGCCTTGGGTGTGGGCTGGGGGCTAGGGTGGGTCACGGTGCAGTCTGATCACCTGCTGTCTCCTGACCCCCAGGAACTCTGAGTCCGTCACCTACTTCTGGCAGAACTGGAATATCCCTGTGCACAAGTGGTGTATCAGGTGGGCACGGGTGTGTGTGTGTGTGTGGTGTGTGGGGGGCAGGCAGCTTTGTGTTTGTGGACCTGGGCGCCTGTTGCATGGCCTCTTCCCTCCACAGACACTTCTATAAGCCCATGCTCCGACGGGGCAGCAGCAAGTGGGTAGCCAGGACCGGGGTGTTCCTAGCCTCGGCCTTCTTCCACGAGGTCAGTGCTGTGGGCGTGTCCTGCTTCATCCTGGGGTGGTTGTGGCCCTCAAGATGGCTGACGCTCCTCTCCTACCCCAGTACCTGGTGAGCATCCCCCTGCGCATGTTCCGCCTATGGGCCTTCACAGGCATGATGGCTCAGGTGAGCATCCCCCACCTGGCCTCCTCACCCGCCCTCTTCCCCATGCCCCGGGGAGCAGGCAGCCCTGTGGTCACTATAGCCAACTGACCTTGGTCCCGTGTCCCCAGATCCCACTGGCCTGGATCGTGAGCCGCTTCTTCCGGGGCAACTATGGCAATGCAGCCGTGTGGCTGACACTCATCATCGGGCAGCCAGTGGCCGTGCTCATGTACGTCCATGACTACTACGTGCTCAACCACGAGGCCACGACAGCGGGGGCATGAGCTACTCTGGGGCCAGCCCTCTTCACCGCCACCTTGCCTCGTCTGCCTCACTGCCCATGGCCAGAGCCTGCCGCCGCCTGTGTACTGGGGAGAGGGCCTGGCTGCCCATGCCTCCTCCTGGGATCCAGGAGGCCTCTCTGCCCCTATGGGGTTCCCTCTTGCCCCCTCAGGGATGGCAGATGGGGCATAGGCCAGTTCCAGCGCCCTGGGAATCCATGCTGATCCTGCCCAAGGGTCTGAGGGTGTCAATAAAGTGCTGTCCAGAGTGACCTCCCTCAGCATGCTGGGGGCACAGGGCTGGTGGGAGGTGATGGCCCACACCACATGGGGTCCCCTAGGGTGTGGGGGCAGCTGCTCCCGGGGGCCTGGGAGAAAGGGCCTCTTCCCCCAGGCTGCACTGTGGTGCTCTTGGGAGGGGAATCTGGGTCCCATCGGCCTCCCCCGATGCCCATGCCCCATGCCCTGCTGGGGTGCTGTGCCCTGGGAAAGGCTGCCCAGCTACAGTTGGGCAGGGCATGGCCAGGAGGGGGAGGCAGTGCCCTCAGTGGTGGCATGAGGTGAGGCATGGGTTGGGGGTGAGGTGTGGGGAGTTGGAGGGAGGCACTGGCAGTCAGGCAGACCCCTTGCCCCATGCCATGGCTGACAACCCTCACTGCCTAGAAGGGCTCAGCTGTCAGACTTCCTGTTAGGTCACTGCTGGTTAATCCTATGTGGGGGGCAGGGGCTTTGAAGAGGATGCCTAAGGACCTAGATCAGCAGTCCTGGGCAGGGGTTGGAGGCCAGGGCATGGAAGCTGGTCAAGGATCAGAACCAACTGGTAGAACCAGCTAAGGCTCCATGCGCTGGTGGGCAGAGGCTCTATAACAGGGCTGCAGAGGTCATGGGGGCAGAGTCCATGGGCTCCTGGGGAGCTGGGGCAGCCACATGCTAGGGTGTTCAACTGGCAACTGGGGGTGGGCACAGGGCCTTGGGGTGGAGGTTCTGTGCCCCTTAGATGAGGGGGGCAGCCTGGCCCAATCCTTGCCCGGGATCTCCCTCTCACTGGCCATGGGTGCCTGCCTGAGTGTCAGCGGTCTGCACCTCCTGGGTGCCCCTAGCCTGAGACCTGCCCCTCCCTGGGGCCCAGGAGGATACCCCAGCTCCCTGGGGCTAGAGCCTGCCTGCCCTGCTCAGCCTCTAGCCCTTCTGCATCCTCAATTCTGGCACTTGGCTGGACAGTCCACACAGTGCAGCCTGAGTGTAGCCCTCAGGACACCTTGCTCCCAGACCCTGCTACCTGCTAAGCCTGACAGGGAAGTTGGGGGGCAACCCTGGGCCCCCATTCCCACCTCATCCAAGGTGGGTCAGCTCTCTGGACTGAAAACCCAGAGGCTGTGCCAGGCCAGAGTGTGCCCTGACACAGCTGTAGCCCAAGGTGGGTGTCTGAGAAGGTGCCTGGGTGGTGGTCTCAGAGCTGTGCTGCCACTGCACAGACCAAAATCTGCTCAACCCCAACTCCTCACCTCCTCTAGGCCATGGTGGTGGTGGGGGGAGGGGGGCTACCTGGGGGTGCCTTTGGACCCCAGGGTGGAGGCAGTGTGTCCTTGGCCCCTACCTCCTGGGCAGACACCAGCATGGGCTCTGCTGAGGTTGTTGAGTAGTGGGTGAAATGGGGGCACAGAGCATCAGGCGGCTGCTTTGGCCTGGCTCCTCCTTCCCATACTGTGTTTCCCCTGCCCCTCGTCTGGAAGAGCTCAGCAGCCAGACCCAGAAGGCAAGGCGCACTCCCACCACCTTCCCTTCTTCAGCTAGACCCCCATGGCGCTGAGCCCCTCCCTTACCCCAAAGACAGTCCAGTGCCTTATGAAGGCAGAGTGGAGGTGGCTCTGCCAGGAAGATGCACATGGTGCACCCATCTGTTTCACCTGGTCCCCTAGTGGGAAGATTTTAAGAAGGGGTTTCCTGCAGGGAGGGCTTCCCCTCCCTGGTCCTTTAATAAAGAATGCTGAGCAAACACAGGTCCTATGGAGTCAGGTGGGCAAATGTGTGCTGTGGGCATCTACCCTCCCTCCAAGGAGACCACTGCAGCCCAGACCTCCAGCCCCTTCTGAGACTCCTGCGCCCTGGGGGCCCCTCATCACGCACCCTCACCCACTGCACCACCCCAGGCAGGAGGAAACAGACACGGGGAGGCCACAGGGTAGAGCCTGTCCTTTATAGATCTCTGCCTGTCTCGTCCGTCCGTCTGTCCGTGTATATATCTGTATATCTCTAAGGGGAAAGGGGGACTCTTGTGTAAAAATCCAAAATACAATTCTGACTATGAACACCTGCAATACTGGTCAGTCCAAGTGGGGCAAGGAAGCCCCAAGCCAGCCTGGCACCGGGGGCCACACCCAGCCCCCCGTGCCAGGCTCCCCAAGACCAGCCCTGCACCAGGAGTGGGAGGAGGGCTTGGGCCGGCCCTCCTCCTGGGGCCTCTAGGAGACAGTGGGGTCCTTGGCTTTGGGGGGCTCAGAGCCCGTCAGCAGGGAGATGGTAGGGTCATCTGCGTAGTCATCCCCCTCAGAGAAGTAGGAGCCCTCCCCCAGCTCGAAGAGCACCGGCAGGTCGCTACTCCCCACATCCACGGAGCCCGGGTCCACCAGCAAGAGGGGCTGCGCCGTGTAGTGCACCAGCTGCTTCCCTGGGGGTGGGGGCTGGGTCAGGGTGCTGGCAGGTGGAAACAGGGTGGGGGATGGGGTGGGGGACATGTGGGCTCAGCTCACCTGAGTCAGGGCTGTTGCGCTCTGCCTCAAGAGGCCTGGGGGGCTCCTGGGGAGAGAGGAGCTCCTGGATCTGCTGGGGCAGGAGGGGTACAATGAGGGTTCCTGCTCACCCCCCTCTCCCAGGTCCCCCAATACCCCCACCCCGCCTACGCACGCTGGCCAGGCTGCTGTCAAGGTCGGGCAGGCTCATGTCGGGCACTGTCACCGAGGGGCTGAACAGCTGCAGGGAAGGGAGGGCAGTCAGGCTGTGCCTGTGAGCAGGGCGGGTGCAGGTGCAGCCGGGGGTGAGACTCACATCCAGCAGGGCACTGGTGTCCACACTGAAACCATGGCTCGTAAGCATGGTCTGCAGGTTGTCCAAATTGGAGTCCATGGCGTCCAAGTGGTCACTGAGCTCGGTCCTGGTCAGAGTGAGTGGGGCAGGTGAAGTGGTGCCCCAGGCACCCCCACCCTGATGCCTTCTTGCTGGCACTCACACCCGCCTGCCAGAGAAGGGCTCCCCTTGGCCACACGCACCCTGCTTGGGCTCACAGGAGGCCCTCTGAGGCGGGGCCCCCTTGCACACCCGGCGTGGGTCCAGTGGGGCAGTGTGTGCGTGGATAGGGCTGGGACGCTTAGTCCCTGAGGGGAGTGCTAGCTTATCTTGTCACCGTGAGGCCCTGTAAGGCCTCTGGCAGCACTTTGGGCTGGGCCAAGGCAGCAAGGGAACTTAGGAGGGGTTTCGACCCCAGAAGGGGCTGAGGGCAGTTTTCCAGGTTTGACAACGTCTTGCCTTGGCACTAGAAGACAGTAGGGATGGGGCAAGGGAGCTGTGCTCAGTGTGTGGGGGTCGGCTTCTCCCTCGGGACATGCCGGGGACTGGCAGATGTGACCAAGAAGGCCTTGGGCCATCTGGTGCACCTGGGCCATTGGACAGGTGGCCAGGCTGGCTCCTGGAGGTACCCATGGGGCCCAGCCCCACCCTGAGAGGAAGCTGGTCAGCACCAGTGGCTGTGCCAGGCTGGGAGGCCTGTCTCTGTCAGTCAGTGACTTTGGCACTCTGGCTTGGGCCCCAGAGTCGGGGGGTCCACTCCTCGCTGCAGAGGGCCTGGGATGCCCATTCACCAGGCAGGGCCCAGTGCGCCTGGCCAGGCCAGGATCTGGTCTGCGGCTGGGGAGGGGCCCGAGCTCTGGTGGAGTCCTCCTCCCTCCCCAGTGAGGACAGCGCTAACCCTGGCTGGACTCGGCCATGCAGAGAGGAGGAGGGGCAGGGGAAGAGGCGGGCGACCCCAGACATCTGTGGAGTGCGAGCCAAACTGCAAGATACAAAGACAAGAGCCCCCCGATTGCAGGTGGGAGCTGGGCGGGCTCCATGCCCCCCGCCCTTGCTTGCTCAGCCTCTGGGGCAGGGCCTCTGCTGAGCAGCAGGATAGACACAAGGATCCAGCGACCTGTCGCAGGAGAAGGTGACAGGAGCCAGGCCTGCATGGCCACACACCCTGGGCTTCTGCGGCAACGGGGCTGTGGGACAACCTGGCCAGTGTCCATCTCCTTCTGCAGCCCCAAGCTCTGAGCTCAGCGCCTGGTCTGCAGGCTCATCCCCCAGTAGCCCCTGTGCCCGGAGGCCTGAGGGCCACCCTGTGTCCACCCCTCCAGGACAGTTCTAGCCAGAGGCCCGGCTGTGCTTCCATGGGCTGTGGGGGTTGGCACTCACTTGTCCAGACAGGCCACACTGAGGCACTTCTCGGGGGCAGAGGCAGGTGGGGGCGAGGGGGGGCAGGCCCCTGCTTCCGTGAGGGGCGTAGCCGAGGCGGCAGGGGCAGGCTCGCTCTCCCGCAGAATGGAGTCAATGAGGGCGGTTGGGGACAGGGGGGTCTCCACCACAGAGGGTGGGTGCCCGGGACTAGCCTCCTCCACCCGGGGACTCCGAGAAGGACTTGGGGGCTCCTCCTTGACTCGCACCAGGGGGCTGTCCGACAGGGGCCTGCATGTGGGGGACACAGACATCAGCAGGCACCTCTGCGGGCCCCACCCTTCTCCCAACTCTGTTGGGAGGGTGACGCAGCCCCCACCTCTCATCTATGCTCCCGCCTGGGGAGGCCAAGGGGCTGCTGGGAGCCAGTTCAGTGATGTCAGAAATGATGGGTCCGGAGCTTGCAACAGCATCTGGAGAGTAGAGGCTGGAGCCGCTGTAGGCCGGAGATGGAGCCTGCCACCAAAGGGAGGTGAGCACGTGCGGCGTGTGCCTGCAGCACCCACCTACCCAGGCCGGTCCGCCGCACTGGCGCTCACCGAGTAGGGGCCCGAGCCATGGATGTGCTCCAGGGAGTACTGCCGGCCATACTTGGGCATGGAATGTGCTGAGCTGCTGTCATTCAGCATCAGAGGGCTGTGGGGAAGGGGGCGGTTAGCTGCCTCCCCCGGGCCTCTGTGGCACCCAGTTCACAGCACATAGGAGACGGGGTGGCCCAGGGCCCTGTGCTGAGGGGCAGGCATCCCCAGCACCTCACATCTTTCTCTTCACCCCCAGGATCCGGTTCGAC